GCCAAAGGGATACCTGTACTCCCATGCTTATTGCAGCACTATTTACAATAACTAAGAGTTGGGATGAACCCAAATGTCCATCACCAGATGAGTGGATAAGAAAAATGTGGTATATCTACACAATGGAATACTGCTCTGCTATGGAAAAGAATTAAATACTACCATTTGCAACAACATGGATGGACTTAGAGAAAATTATATTAAGTGAAACAAGTCAGGCACAGAAAGAGAAATAAGTTCTCTCTTATTTGTGAGAGCTAAAAATAAATAGAAAAAGAAATATACAAACAAATAAGGGATGTGGTGGGGGAAGAAGACACAACAATCACAACAATTCCTTGAACTTGTTAAGACACATGAGCAGATATGATGTAGTTGTGGGAAGAGGGGAGAGACGGAGGTGAGGAAGAGCAACAGGTAAAGGGACTCGAAAATTAACTACAATGTACATTGAGAAGTTAAAATTTAAAAAAAGCAAAAACAAACAAAATAAATAAAAATGTGTACAATTCAGTGGCTTTTTAGTATATTCACGAAATAGTGCAACCACTGCCACTGTCTAGTTCCAGAACATTTTCATGACCCTCAGAAGAAATCCCATGTCTGTCAGCGGCTGTTCCTCATCCCCCCTCTCCCGAGCTCCCTGCATCTGCTAATCTACTTTCTGTCTCTATAGATTTGCCTGTTCTGGACATTTCATATAAATAGCATTATGCAATACATGACCTTTTGTGTAAACTTTATTAATTTTCTGAATAAGCTTTTTTCTGTCAAAAATAAACAAACAATAAATAAATAAACATTATAGGAAAAATTGAAATTGTAGAGAAACAGAGAGGAAAATAAATATCACCTATATTCCTACTACTCAGGGAAAACTGCTGTGTTTACATTAGAAGTTTTTTTCTCTCTCAGCATATAGAAATACAAAATATTTCATATATTTATTATTAAACAAAATGTAATCTTATTGTATATATGACGGTACTTCAAAAAGTTCATGGACAGATTTGTATTATTTTTTAATTTTATCTTTCCATGAACTTTTTGAAGTACCCTTATACTATTTTTAACTGGCAGCAATAATGGTTTGAGGATATTTTATATCCATAAATCTTCTTCAGTATTATTTTTTAATGGTATCACAGCATTTCATTAGGTAGGAGAATCATTTATTTAGCTAAATCCTTAATTTTGTACAATTAAGTGGATTCTGACTTTTTACTACTAGAACTATCTCTTTCATAAATATTTTTGTGGTTATGTCTTTCACATCCAAGATAATTCCTTTAAAATCTTTCCTCCCTCCCCAAAAGTGGTTGTCTGAAAGGAAAGATATGAATTATTTTAAGTTTTTGATAAGTATTGATAAAATACCCTCCAAAGGTTAAATAAACCAGATTACACTATTATCAGCAGAATTTCTGGTAATATAGTTTCCAAAATTTTCCCCAGAAATTCATTTGAATTTCAATTTCAGTTATAATATATTTTCAAGTGTGGAAATTTAATCAAAATTATGAAAATTGGGAACAAACTTAGAAAAATCATTTCTATATTAGTATTTTTAAAGTTTTGAATCATTAAATACTGACTATAGCATTAATATTTCAATGGCATATTATCCTTTTAAAAATAATTTTATCAAATCCCTTTAATTATGTGAAATGAGCAGGTGAGGTATTCCCCTTTCCAGAGGAAGAAATTGAAATTATGTTGGAAAAGCAAAACAACACACATGTAATTGATAGTTATTTTCAGTACATATTTATGTAATTATACAAGGTGAAAACATTTAGGAAATTAGCTCAAAGTTTGAATATGGGATCAAACAGAATAGTATAAATATATCTCTAACAAGTTTCCACAGCACCCTACGTTTCCCCATCACAGCCTTTATTCCACCATCTTATAATTAGTTACCTCATTGTTTGTTTTACAAATAGGCCATAAATTCCACAAAACCATCGCCATCCCGAATTTGCTCAATATTTTAACTCTAGTGTCCACCACAGTAGTGAGTGTTTAACAATCTCTAGTCCAATGCATTTTTAAAAGATAAAAAAATAAAATATGTTATATAGAAATAGTCATGTTACCTAGAAATCCTGCTTTGTGCCAATACTGGAAATTTGTTTCCATTTATAAAAATCATCTTTAATATCTAATTCATCATTGGGGTTTACTATTAGCCAAATACCATTTTAAGTTTTTTTTTTTTGTCTTTTGTCTTTTTCCATGTCCGGCAACGGATTGCAACCCTCAGTGTT